GATTCAACCCACTTATGTAACTTTATGAAATAAGCGCTAAATAATGATTGAAATCAATATTCAAAAAATATTTAATTAATATATAGTTAATATGCAGATTTTGACTTTTAAAAATTTTGAATATAATCTATTTTCAATTTTCACAAATTTATAAGAAATGTTTTTGCAAACGCTTAGTTGACATGCAAAGCAAATAATTTTATTTTTTACTGCGTTTTTTGATGGAAATTTGCAGCACCTTTTTGGAGTATCAGATTGTTGTGGCATTGTAGTTTTACTTGGTTTACTTGAACCATCATTTTTCTTGAATTGTCGTCTGTAATTCCAGTGGGAGAGAATTGAGATTACGTGTGGCTAGGTGTTCATCAGTCAATGCTTTCCCAAGATCAACAATAAAATTTTCCTCCTTTCTTTTTTACCCTTTTTATCAATCTGATTACCGATTTTTTTTTTGGAACATAGGAGATTAAAGTGGTTATTCCAGACAAACCAAAAATAGATGTTCCTGATTCTCTATTAGGGTGCGGTTGAAATTGTGGTGAATCTAAGGTTTGTTCTTTCTCATTGTTTCTAAATATGTAAGGCCATGCTCTTTCAACTTATCAACTAATTCTACTGAATTGAATCAATTGTCTGCTGGAATATTTCTTCCAAAGTGTGGTCGACTAATCTCTAAAACCTATACAGTATAACCTCGTTAATTCGACACACGCAAATTCGACACCCTACCTTAATTCGACCATATTCTGATGTCCCGATCTCCGGCCTATCAAATAACAAACCGTAATTCGACAGTATCGATAATACGACAGTTCCGATAGTTCGACCATTTTAAAATTCCAATTTCGACAGTTGAATGTTTTTTTACATACAACTTTACCGCTAAAAAGGTATTACAGCGGTGGCAAACGGCGACGACGGCGGGCGCCGATAGGATCGCACCTGCACACTTTGGTTTCTATTAGTTTAAGTTTCACTTTGCAGTGCCATTGCGCAATGTCGCGAGTGTTTATTTTTTACGCGATAATTTAGGAATCGCGCACTAATTAATAATATTATTTTCTTTTTAATTTTCAGCATTGAAATATTTTAGTTATTTTAAAATATTTACAAATAATTTCCTTTTAAATAAATAAACTTCATAAAATGTAGCCACAATTATTATGATAACATTTTATTTCAATATTCCATTTGCATGTTATTATAAAAGATTTAAACACAAAATCAATAACACCTGCAGCAGCAGTGGATGTCTTTAATACAATAAAAACTTTGTCATTTAAAACACATTCCAAAGGAAGAAAGACATGCATGTTTTTTTTTAAATAGACCATCTGGAATACATCCTGAATAGGATTTCAGTTCAAAAACAGGCATCTTTATAAGAATTTTTTAAAAGATCTTCATGATTATTTTTAAATATTATTTTTAATTTTTATTTTTATTTTCCATATTTATTTCCTTTCAACAGCTATATTCTTCAATTAGAATAAAATATTATTTGTAATTATTTATGTTTCAAAAATATGTATTATTGCCATTTTGTCCCTGATACTAAAGTTAACCATGAAAATAAAAATATAATACAAAAAAAGGACACACATAATGGTTACAATTATTATCATTAATTTATATTACAAAGCAATTTAAAAAATATATTATTTCAACGAGTTAGATGATTAGCTAATCATCTGAATAACTTTAATTCAACACTTCCTTTAATTCAACCGAAAGCTCTGATCCCTTGGGGTGTTGAATTAAAGAGGTTCGACTGTATATGTTTTGGGTTGGCAGAGATAGTTCTCTCTGTTGACTCGATTGATAATTCTACTTATACAAAGAAAGAAGTGTTATTTTATAAAAGGAAGCTAAAAATAGCGGAAGATAGAGACTCAAATATGAGCCACGAGCTAATACTGACACGAAAAATTCTCACGCTTCTGGACGGGCTGGTCAGAATCCGCCCCAACATGCAAATTTAACTCCCCTCCCAAAACTGAAATTAATAAACGATGGATGGAAAATGTTTGTATCACTGTAAAATTAGAATACACGAAAGCTGGTAGCTCTAGGTAAACAAAAAATATATTTTTTCCTATATTAAGTTTATGCATGGGCAGAATCTGCCCAACCCGTCCAGTTAAGAGTTAAGGAGAGGTGTCCTCTTACCGAAGAGTTGCAAAAAGGTAAAAATGGTAATTTTACAAATGAAAACTGTCCTTTATAGAGAGATGTCCACTAGCGTGAGTGTCTTCTCATGGAGGTACTACTGTATACTGTATTTATATTTTGATATTGTAAGATGAAGAATTAAACAAAGGAATAAGATATGAAGATAAATTTATTTAAAGAGTGTAAAAATAGTATATCTCTTTAATAACACTGAGATTTTTCTGGAGCATGCATATGATGTTTCAACCAAGTTGTTACTATACCTGTTTCTATTCCAAAAAAACTTTATTAGTTGTCGCTCAAAAAGAGCAACCTAGCTTATGTTATTTACAACAATGGATAATATGTATAGGTTCTTCACATTTGTAGTGTATTCACATATTTACATGGTTAGAGTCTTGTGCGGAGTTATGGATTCGGAGTGTTCTCTCTTCTAAGATGGGCTATTATCCTTATTTATTTTTCTTCTAGGTACATGTTTTTTTCTTTCCTTTTTTCCCATTTTTCTACATTTGTTCTCAATTGATATAAGAGTGGCCTTGGCTTTGGTTTCCTTATATTTGTTTCTTGTAAAGGCACAATTTGGATTATTAAAATATACAAGTATCAGAGTCATCAACAATTCTGTCACCGTTTGCTTTTGGTTCAGTGGTAGAATGCTTGCCTGCCACGCGGGCGCCCCGGGTTCGATTCCCAGCCGATGCATTTTTTTTTTTTACAATTTTTAAAACTCATTTATATTATTAAAATATATGTGCTTTTCCTGTCTATGTACAGATTTATGGTCTATGTACACAAGTATACAAGTATGTATGCAAGTTATTTGCAAATTGCATTGCAAATTTGCCCTTTCGCTCGCAAGCAGCGCCTCTAGCGGTGAAGATGGGAGGTAATATCAGCTGACCTAATGGACATGTAAAACGTGTTTTAACAGGACATAGAGAAAAATCTGGAAAAGATATTTTTCGGATTTTTAGTCAAGAAAAATAAATTGACAGGTTCTGGGAAAAAGTAGTTGTTTTTTATTCAGAAAATGATGATGACAATATTGCTGTATCATATTTGATTATCAGATACAAAATTATATCCGGAAAAATTCCAAAAAGCAGAGACCACGGGTGAAGCCAGTTCATTTTTAGTATGCAGGAACAAAATTCTAACAGAAAAACATTCATTCGATCAGAAGACACAAAGCCAGATCATCTCTTTATAAAAATATCGCTTCTCAGACACAAAGTTTGGAGCGGGACGTTTCACAAGAATGACATCCACGGCGCCAATTTATAATTGTAACGAATAGTATTTGAATAAAAGCATTTAATCGGGTAAAACCCGGGCGTTGCCCGGGTCATTCAGCTAGTAGATTATAAACACAAGGTAATAAGACCAAATATAAATAAATAAATAGTGTGTGACGTTTCAGTAACAGCGTTGTTACCATCTTCAGACAAAAGTACTGAATGAGAAGACACTGTGGTAAAATTTCTCATGGTAACAACGCTGTTACCGAAACGTCACACTATTTATTTATTTGGATATGGTCTTATAACCTTGTGTTTATAATCTTTGTTTCTTGTTTGTAATTAAAGGCTTCTTTGAATGTTATGTTTTTAAGAGTTTCAGATTTTTCATAGAAGTTGAAAGTTGTTTTATTATGAAACATTTGTTTTATTTATTGAGGTTCCTTCTAATAATACTGCACTCCTGACAAACCAAGGGGCTTATTCCACTGTATATTAATTTTTCATCAAGTTTTTACAATATATGTTAAGGCACAATTTGGATTATAAATTATAACTACAAGAAAATAAAATAAAATTCAAATAAATTAATAGTGTGTGACGTTTGGGTAACAGCGTTGTTACCAATATGAGACAAAGCACTTTTCCACTTCTAATTCTTAAAGAATAATATTTTAGGTTTTCTTCGAAAACTATATTCTTAGATTTAGTTCTTTTGTCTGATGGTAACAACGCTGTTACCGAAACATCACACACTATTAATTTATTTGGTCTTATTACCTTGTAGTTCTAATATATAATCCAAATTGTACCTTATCATTTTATTGAGTAAAAATGATGTAAACAGGTGATTTCTTTTATATAAGTAATTTAATTAGCCAATTTTAAACACAAGGTAATAAGACCTAATCCAAATAAATAAATAGTGTGTGACATTTTGGTAACAACACTGTTACCGAAACGTCACACACTATTTATAAGATCAAATATAAATAGAGGTAATAAGATCAAATCTAAATAAATAAATAGTCTGTGATATTTCGGTAACAGCATTGTTACCATCATCAGACAAAATGCTGCTTTTTTTAACAATTTTGTTACCGAAACGTCACACACTATTTATTTGGATTTGGTCTTTTTGCCTTATGTTTATAATCTATAATCCAAATTGTGCCTAATCATTAAAGAAGTGTTTGTTTAATTCGTTATTGTGTTTTCAGTTGTCACACTCATCTCCGCAACTAATTCAAGAAGACAAAATGGTGAGCCACTGGTTAAATCTGACCATAGGTTTGCCAAAGTCATTAAACAAAGAAGATCCAGTTCATATCAAGACAATAATTCTGTGTTGAAGATGAAGAAATCACCACCAGCTTGTATTACAACAGAACATGGTCCTAGATATCCCATCAAGGTATCCTTCACTGAAAGCAAGTCTTTACTTTTTTCAATTTTTTCTGTTTTTATTTATTCTTCATTAATCCTAATGTGATTTTTGTCTTGTTAACCTAAGAGTAAAAAATTGAACCACCGTGTATATATATGTATTAGAAAATGCTCATATCAAAGTTCATTTTCTCTCTCTCTGAGAGGGTAGCCTAGTGGACATGCATCTGCCCGGTAAGCGGAACACTGTGGGTTTGATTCCCATCCCTGGACCTTTTATTTTTCCGTTTATCATTACTCTTCACAATTCATCCTTTCATACTTCATCCCTAAAGATAGAAATAATCATTATTTCTCCTTTCTCTCTCTGAGATTATTACTTTAAAAAATATTTCCACTTATTAAAAACAATTCTATCAAACTTTAATTTAAAACACAATTGCATTTTTTAACTCCATAAAATATTGTGAGAATATTTTGATTTGCTAATATAAAATTTTATAATATACAGTAGAACCTCCCTGTAAAGGACAACACCTAATTGCAGAGCCAAGGTGTCCTTTAGGAAGAGAGGTGTCCTCTTATCGTAGAGTTGCTAAATAGTAAAAATGGTAATTTTGCAAATGAAAACTATCCTTTGTGGAGAGGTGTCCACTAAAGGGAGGTTCTACTGAATATAGTTTTGGAGAGGGTCCTTCACTCTCCTCTCCCTGAATTAAACTTTATAAAAATTATATCAATAAGTTATATACCTTTATATTCAAAACTTTGTCTAAAGTACCTGTGCAATATACAGGAAAGCCTTGATATAGTTAACCTCAACCTTTGCTTCATTATAGCCATAGTTCACTAAAGCCACTGTTTGGCTATTCTTTAAAACTTTTTCTTAATTATCAGATTGTATCATTAACAGACAATTACACATACATAAAGAAAGCTACCTCTTAAAAATGGTTACTTTGATTTAATTTCCTAAATTGACTTATTTCCTTACATTAATGCTGTATATCAAAATATATACAAAAAATCATATAAAGTCCTTTGATTATGGTTAGCATATTTATACCTTTATGTCTTCTTCCTTCTTATCTTATCTCTGATTGGGTAGGTGTATTTTGAAGGCCTGTAGTTCAGTGTGGGTTGTTGAGGAGTGACAATTTCTTCAAAAGAAAGGTCTTTGATGAGGGTCAGGAGCCTCCTCCTCCATATACCTTTATGTCTAATTTTAAAAAATACAGGTCCTAGGCAATGCTTTATTAATTATATATTAAAAGATATAAAAATATTTTAAGACAATTTTATCATATTATATGCTGAGGACAGCAAAACACGAAGCAACATGTCTATTTACAGTCAATGAGAGTATGTTTGGCTTACAGAGAAATGAATCAACATTCCCTGTGGTTACCTACCAAATAGGATATCATATGAACACAATTATATCTATATACCTAAGGGCTAAGTGAAAGTCATGTTAAGAAACATTTCACACATGCTGAAACTGTATGAAAGGTCATTGTCACATGATAAATAGTAGAGCGTAGATGAAATGTTACTGTAAAGTCAACAGTTTTTCCTGGCCGCTTTTCTGTGCGTGTTCAAATGATCATATCACCTAAAGTGATGTAGATAATTATTGTGAAAACATTCCCATTTTACTGTTTAGTGAAGCATCATTGGTGTGTGTGAGGTAAAATACCCAAATCATCTAAAGTAATGTAGAGATATTCTTCTTCTTTCTTATCTCCACTCAATCATATCAGGGTATCAAGGTTTGACAACCATCATGACTGGGTGAAGTAGAATGCCTTTGTCATTAAAGCTGGGAGCACTACTCAGCTTCGAAATAATTGGCCGCCTCTGACATGAGGAACAGACGACATGTGCAGCCACTCCTAACATGGAGTACAAATGCTGTTCATCCTGTATCCCTGGATTAGGAGCCCTTACAGGGTACTATCAGCCGGGCCAGCTGAACCCAGGTTTTTTTAGTGAGCTTGTTACTGCTCCCCCTCCTCTTTTTTCATCCGGGTTTGGGACCGGCAAAGGCGGAGTTTTACTAACAGTAATATTGTTGTGTTTTCTACCTATTGGTTGCCTCAAATCTCAGACACCACAAAATATAAGTATTATATATTGTGTATTTTTGCTCTTCTTGGAAAATGGGTGCCATTTCCATGTTATTCACCTTGGAAACAAACCAGAATTTGGTAAAATATTCCAAGGGTCCAGGGAGACCACAGGGAGGATATTGTGTATTGACAACAGAATATTGTTGTCATTGACTTGTTATTTATTTATCATCATCATCTTGTATTACCTGATCAATCTTGTTCACCTTTCCCCTTTCTTTCTGTAGTAGATGGCCTCTCTACATGTCCTAATTTTCCATAAGCATGACACTTAGCATTCTTGAAGAAGCATCTTTCCTGAGTGTGGTTCCTTTTCCCACAATGTTTGCAAGGAAATTTCACATTTAGATCATTCTCCTTTTTCTTCTCCTTTAAAAAAAACACCTTTTATTTTGACAATACACTGGGCAGCATGAATTTCTAAGCGGATTCTCAGACAGAGATACCTTTGGCTTGGTTATCAATTTTAACTGTGAATGTTTTTGAAGATTTTGATACCACTATAAATGGACCTTTGTATGGTTGATATAATGCCCTTTTTACAAAATCTTTTTTATAAAGACGTGTGAGTAGGTGTTTAAGTCTTTATAAGAAAAAATATTATTTTGGTTAATCGAAACCGCTACATCACTCCCCCGCCAGTTAAGACTTAAAGTCGAAATGTACGTGGCGTCCATAGTGAGTGGTGTAGCTACCTCAGCATTGTCAGGCATAGGTGGCAGAATTGAAGAATCGTGGAAACTTTGAGGGGTGTTTTCTATAAATGCAGGCTTCAGTCTGTTGATAGAGATAACCAAATAATGTTTATTAATTTTAACTGTAACTGTCTTCGAATATCTTGATACCACTGGAAATGGACCTTCATCTCTTCTTGTTCTTTCTTATCTCCACTCAATCATATTAAGGTATCAAGCTCGTAAAGCTTGAGACTTTTGATGGTATCTGCCGGGGATGAGTAGAGCTCATCAATGGATGAGTCAATACAACTGCATGGCAGCCGATGCAGCATAGTGGGAAGATTTAACAACCATCATGACTGGGTGAAGTAGAATGTGTCTTCCTTTGTCATTAAGACTGGGAGTACTACTCAGTGGCAGGCCGACTTAGCTCCGAAAGAAATGGCCACCTCTGACATGAGGAACAGAAGCCATGTGCAGCAGCTCCTAACATGGAGTACAAACGATGCTCATCCTGTATCCCTGGATTAGGAGCCCCTGGGATTGTTGCTATCATTAAGACATCCCTGGTGTCAAGCCATTTCAATGCGAGAAGCTGTCTGTTTTGACAAAAGAGGCTTTCACCTTTTTTCAGTTTTTTCGAGAAAGCTTTTTTTGGCAATTCCTTTCTGTTATGCCTGACTGTTCCTACTGCAACTGTTTTCTTTTCCAATAAATGATTGAAAAGTTGGGGTGAGGAAAACCACCTATCGAAATAGATGATGTGGTGTAGTAAGGTTCAGCAATCTAAGCTCAATATAGAATTATATTGAAGGTCTTGATGAGGATGCCTTCCAGTATATATATCTAGGTTACAGGTATACCCTGTACTTGATTCACAAATCTTGATCCCATATTTATGAGGTTTGCCCTTTATATATACTCGGAAATGAACCCGTCCATGAAAAGTACAAATGGCCTCATAAATTGTCAATTTTTCATCAGGCGAGTACCAGGTTCTGAATTTATTGACAAGGGAATCAAACAAGGTTCTTATTTTGTAAATTGAATCATATCCTGGTTGTCCATGTGGAATATATAGCATATTATCATTCAGATGAAGCATTGATAAAATCGCCTCAAATCTTTACCTTGCCGTTCCTGTCGATTTGCAAAAAGCTGTTCACATTCCAATGTGGTTTGACCAATATTCTCTTAACCTTTGTTTTACTACAAGGCTCATATAAATAATTATGGCCAAAAATATCTCCAATTCAGCAATAGAAACAGCTTTCCACTTTGCCAACAACCCCCTAGGATTCAGAGGGCCTTTCTTTCTCTCTTTATCAATCACCATCTTTGAATATTTGTTGGTTTCCAACTTTATCATTCTAAACAATTCTTCATCAAAAAACTTCTTGAATACTGAATATGGAGTGAGAAAGCTGCTTTTGGTCCAGAGGTTCCAGAAAATGTAGGCTTTTCAAAAGGTAATCTTACCTCGGTCCATTCTTTATCTTCAGGGGTAGGTTGTCTTATTTGCTAAAAAAAAAAAGTTGAAATACTTAAATAGGATGAAATAAAAATAGTTACCTCTTCCTCACTTTCTTCATTATAAATTTCAGTAGTATCAGATTCTAGACCTTCCAAAGTAAATTGAGGATCTTCAATAGAATCATCTAGTTCAGACCCAGAATCTGCTAAGAAATAATCCTCAAACTCTTCATCAGCTTCAGGAACATTGAATAAATCAATTCCTGAGGTACTGGGCATGTTGGGATCCATTTTTAGAGCGAGCAAATGAAGAACAAAAAAGAGAGAAGCACTCTGCGTCAAGGAATCTGGGAGGAGCGGGGACAGATGTTGGTAAATAGCCAATAGTTGATTGACACTTCAAGGACATTGTGTGAACGTACCTTAACGGCCGATTTTATACAGATTTTTAAAGATGCGGAACGTAAATATACGTTTGCCGGGCGTTTGGCATTTTAGGGCGAAGGTAAATATACGTCCTCCGGGCTTTAAGTGTTAAAAACAGGAGGGCATATCCTGACCAATAGCACATGTTCTTTTTAGATGGCAGAGTGCCATCTAGTTGAACAAAAATCAATTAAACATTGATTTAGCTGTCACAGATATTTAGCCAACTCATTTTCTTTATTAATAAAGAAAAGCCAAACATGAACGTGTTTCGGGCTATTGGCCCTCGTCAGCATGGAGCAAGATGTACCGCTGCAACCAGTTACCTATTTACAAAATGTTTCTTCTTGAAAAAAAAAAAAGAGAGAGAGAACAAATCAGCAAATGAAGAGAATCACTACAAATATAAATTTCCGAAAGTTGTAAGACATTGCCTTAATGAAATTCATGTTAAGGAATGTTTGATCAACCACATAAAATGAATATATATGAAAGATAATTGTCACATAAAAATTATAAATGAAAATACACAGCATATATGTCAGATATAGAGTTAACTGTAATAAACA